TCAAATATATATATATATATATATATATAGATTGTGTGGGAGGACCTAAAAATTACAATTTGCCCAGACGATAACCACCACATCAAATGGTTCCAAAAAAAAAAATCTACAGAAAATACATTAGACCTAAAGAAAAAAAAAATCAAAAAGTGTCAAAATACGGAGTATCAGGTAGTTAGAGAGCGACCCAATTTTGCCTTGCCTTTGTCTCTAATTCTAGAGAAGGAGCCAACTAATAAATTAGTAAGATAGCTGCTATTGCCAGTAGTAACCAATGTATCATCCAATAAATTCTCGAGCTCGAGTTTGCCTCCGTTCTTCTTCTTCCTTCTGGAATAGACTTGTCATTCGTCATCTAAAGATTGACTCACCTAATCAGTGAAATGGTCTAAAGTATGTCGGATTTGTGTAGGTTGTTGAATATTAGAAGCAACTACTTATTGTACCAGCTGATCTTTTATCAGATCAAAGGAGCACTTTCGTGTGTCTTGGCATGTACTGGTTCTTCTTCAATAATAGTGAGTGGTATTAGCACATTTGAATCTGTACTTGTAGTATGGTGTTCTTCATCTAGAACTGCGGTGTTGGAAGAAGGATCGGGTTGCATTTTGGTGGCTGATCTTTAGCGATATTCGGCTTTAGATGAAGATGCGATATTTGGCTTTAGATGAAGATGCAAGCGATAACAAATAGTAAAACTGTGGCCAAACATACTACAATGAGAGCAATAAGGAGGGTGTGCAATAAGTAAGGTGTGGTTCTATTTCAACCTTTTGCCAATACCCGTTGTGAGTAGTGTCAATCTATATCTCACCCGGAGCTGGTTTAGTGATATCTCTCTCAATTAACACACAAGCCACAAATGATCTGGTGATGACAAACGTAGGACTATCAATCCTAAGAGGCTTATCGTAAGCAGTTGCTAAGGAGTAGAGAATTTTCATGTTGAACAGATGTAATTTTAACCCCAGAAACTTTATTTAAGCAGGAACGATATGGAACTCCGCTTTTCTCCGCTTTTAGATCAAAATCAACATTTCATTTCAAAATTTTCATAAAACTGTTGTAGATCTTGATAACTTTTCGAGAAAAAATACAATTATAATTGACATCTTAAGATAACTGAATAAGTATATGCCGACTGTTAAATAAGCCAATATTCCAACTGTCCAATCACTTCATAGCATCAAACTTTTTCCGAATGATTTATGGTTTTGGGTAACTATAAATGAATTTTCCCACTAGAGCAAAACTCTAAATGGACGCGAGAGTATTGGTTTTAACCTTAGTGAGAATAAGTGCAGACTTTTTTAATTTTTTTTGTCAAGCTTTTTAATAAAAGTGTGATTAACACCACTTTCAAGAGCATCGGGAGAAGATATGGAAAGTCACAGGACTAAGTGAATATAAAAATCAGGAACTGAAAGGGAGCACAAGTAGTAACAGTAAAGTCGCTGCATTAGCGTAGGAAAGCATCGTCGAGTCCATATCAGATCCCGTAGCTGTCGGCGCCA